TTAGTCTCAAAGTGGGTTCCTCGTCATCGAAAATGAAAATATCAAATATTAGTAGCCACCTTACCCAATAGGTATGGAGTGACCTTAGCCCAACTCACAGAAGATTTGGAAAGGCTTGCCCAATTATCTTACGCAGATGCTTTTTGTCAAATTATGGATTCATTGACACACGACTGATTTATAGATGCCATAACAGAAGAGGATGTGATAATTAAGCTGAAGCAAAGTAGATGTATACCCTTAAAGGAAGTTTTGCAGTTAGAGATGGAACTAGAATCGATTAAGATCGGAGATAAATAACTGAAGACAACACCTCAAAGTCATAGGATCATCAGACTGAATTTTGTTGAAGCATCAGCTGTGATTACTTTGAAGAGCAAAGCTATTTTGAACAATTTAAGAAAAAAGGTTTAGATCATTATTTATAATGCTGAAATGTGAAAATAATTTGTTTTAGAAAAATCAATGATGTTTTTAGCATTTATGGAGCAATTAAATTCTATATATTTATATAAGGAATCCTACTGTAGTCTTGCAGAAAGAGGTTAAAAGTAGCTACCTTCATGTCAAGGTTTGATACTTTGGCAAACTTCTACATATACACAAGTCAGTATAGAATTATAAATCTTTTAATAGTGGATTAAATGTTAAGTAACTGACTACGGACCTACTTTCTTGTTCATTACTATTTTAATAAAAACATGAATTCTAATATGATATCTAATAATTTTGCCACTGATTAGATGTCAAAGAGGGACTGCTTTAAATACTTTTCAAATTAGCTATAGTATTCCTAGACCTGTCAGTGTATCTCACATTATGATGAACGAGGGCATTATTTTACAGTTTGAAGTGAGAAACAGTACTGGTCAAAGAATTACAATGAAAAAATGACCAAATTTGATTCAGATTCTGACACATATGCCGTGAGCTTGATGAGGGCTTTCCATAAGGTGCCATCCCAGTTCCTCTTCCCCATTGTGCTTCATGAAGGAACCATTGCACTGAACCAATTAGTGAAAGAACTGAGCTATGCAAATGAAGCAAGATAAAAAAATAGAACTCGAACAATTCGCAAAGTCATTGATGTAAACTGTACCAAGTATGTTTAAGACATTTTAGTGTGTTAGCCAACACGTTAAAAACTTACTAATCGACTATAAGACGAGTGCCACGCATGATCTTTAATACATCATTGTTGTAAATTGCTCCTATTATGTTATAGTAAAATAGCATAAGTGAACTAAACCTATGGGCTACTAAGAATATGCATTATTTAAATTTACAAAAAACATAAATGCGTCAGATCTGTAGTCTCATCAAAGGCATAGAAAGGTCCAATTGGTCACCATATCTAAATACCTTAATAAAAGTTGTACACCTATATATATGTGTGTGTGCGTGGGTGTTCAGAACATTATTTTGATGCCAAATCATGTTCAAAGTAGCCTCAATGGACGGTGAGCAATAATTCTTCTTCTAGTGACTCAACCATAGTAGACCTAAATATTTTGACATGTTCTGAAGAATTTGAAAAAAAAATGTCCATTGTACTGTGACATAATAAGCATGATAATGTACCTTGGTGATTGAGCAGCCAATTTGAGGGCTTATAATGTAAAAAAATTGTAGTTTGATACTCGAGACATTTGTACTAAAACAAACAAAGCCACGATGACATTACTGATATGGTATTTCAAGGTGCACTGATTTCTCCTAGCAAAACAGCTCATCATGACAAACATTGTCCATCAGTGACACATTCAGTCTCTCTTAAATAGTTTTGAGTAGCTTCGACCAGCCTGGGGGTCATGTAAAGACTGCCTCATTCAGTCTGTGACGTAACACACTGTATGCCACCATGACGACTCTCGTTTTTCAGTGCCTCGACTGATTGATTTTCAGAAGAAATTGATCAGCAATTAAGAGTACTCCAGATTATACTGTTCTTCTTCCCGACT